CAAGCTAAGTCCCCCAGAGCGGGACGAGCTTTCTCGCCAGCTGAAAGATCTGCTGCGAAAGGGCTTCATCAGGCCGTCATCCAGCCCATTTGCAGCCCCTGTGCTCCTGGTCCGCAAAAAAGATGGCAGCATGCGGTTCTGCGTGGACTTCCGGCGCCTCAACCACATCAGCATCAAGGATCGTTATCCCTTACCAGATATGCTGTCTGTCTTGGCAAAATGCGCCGGCCACCGCCTGTATACGACACTGGACCTCTGTTCAGGATACCACCAGCTCCGAGTACACCCGCAAGATGAGGACACGACTGCCTTCGTTTGCGATGACGGCCAATTCGCCTGGCGAGTTATGCCATTTGGTATTGCTAACGGCCCACCTGTCTTCCAAAGGCTCATGGACCGTGTCACTGCCGACATCCCTGGAGTTCTTGTTGTTGACATCACTGTTCCAGTGTCAATGCTTGCTGAGTCAGCAAATTCTGCTGTAAACGTTTCTGTGCACGTGCGCCCAGAAACGGGCGTTTCTGGTTGTTTTGCCACGTGGCACTTCTCTCTCTCCTCCAGTTTTCTGTCTATGTGTGAGAGTGTCTCTCAGTTCATGTTCATTCATCCTACTCAAGTAAACACACACAACTTCCCCTTGCCAAGACAATCTCCCACACAACACACAGCACACTCTGCACACACACATACACACACACACACACACACAAGTCTCCAACAACAGCACCATCACCATGAACTTACAACAGATTATGAGACCCAGTCCAATTAGCGCAGACGGCATCAAGGTCTTCGCTGGCGCTGAGCAGGATGCCAACCTCTTCTTCATCACCGTCGAGGCCAAGCTCATCGCCGCTGGCATCGACGCTGGCATCATCGCCGAGGGTGGTGCTGACCACCAAGGAGACGGGCAGGCTCCAGCAGCTGCCTCATCGCCGAGCCCAAGCACCCACGGTGCTTCGGGTCCCCGCACTCGCTCCCGCGCTCAACGCGGCCCGCGCCGCACTGGCGTCCGCCACGACGCGGGGGACCACGACGACGATGACGACGACGAGGGCGATGGCGACGACCACGGCGCTCAGCCATCTTCCTCCTCTTCCTCTCTCCCTTCTTCCGCCACTCCGAGCGGAGGAGCGCAGGTGGCGTCCCGAGCCTCTGGCCTGCTGGATCCCCGTGATCCACAGGTTGACGCAGCCATCTTCGCGTTCCTCCTTGGCGTCCTGACGGGACACCCGCTGCGGCTGGCCATCACCGACAACCGTGGCCGCTCCGGTGTGCTTGCGCTGCGCCGCCTCCGCGAGCGCTACATCCGCAGCGGCAAGGACCACGTCAGTCGTCTCAGGCAGCAGCTCTCCTCGACCACCTGGTTTGCCCACGGACACCGTCGACACGTTCATGTCCCGCATCACGGACATCAACTCGCAGCTCCTTGCTGCCGGCGTGTCCATCCCGGAGGACGACCTGCGCACCCTCGTCCGCAATGAACTCCCCGCGGAGTTTGATGTGGCGATGCGGTTCATGGAGCGCGAGGACCCGCCGCCATCGCTGTCCAAGATGACGGCGGACCTCATCCAGGAAGAGCGCCGCCTGCATCGTCCCAAGAAGCGCACGCCTGTGCTCGCCATCGGTGGGCCAGGCTCTGGCTCCTTCGCTGCATCGCCAATGCACGCTGGCACGTCGCCCTCCGACACGAGCGGTGGACCATGCTGTCCACCTGCAGAGCGCGTGACTTGCGCGTTCTGCAACTTCCGCGGCCACTGCGCGCAGCAGTGCCGGCAAGCTGCAGGCGGCCAAGCGCTACCACGTCATCGACGTGCGGCAGATTCCTGGCTACGCTGCGCAACCACGGCACCGCCAACGGCAAGCGGGCCAGGATCCTCTCGCCCGCAGCACGGACGAGCAGCTTCCTTTCGAAGAAGGGCGGCCGTCGTCAGGCAGCGGGCGCTTCGGCGGGGGAGAACTGTCGCCATCTACCACGATGCCGTCAGTGCTGCAGCCGGAGGGCGAAGAGGGCCACGCCATCGGACCAGTGC